AAAAACCAAATGATCATCTCAACAGATACAGAAAAAGCCTTTGACAAAATCCATTATTCATGATAAAAACTCTCAACAAAGTGGGTTTAGAGGGAACATACCTCAACATAATAAAGGCCATATAAAAAAAAAAAAACAACAACAACCCAAAGCCAACATCATCACAATGGTGAAACACTGAGAGCTTTTCCTCTAAGATCCAAAACAAGACAAGGATGTCCACTGCTGTCTTGACTCTTTTATTCCACATTCTACTGGAGGTCCTAGTTGCAGCAATCAGATAAGAACAAGAGATAAAAGGCAAAGAAATTGTTAAGAAAGAAGTAAATCTGCCGCTATATGCAGATGACATGATATGCCACTATTTGCAGATGACATACTATATATAGAGAAACCTGAACACTCCACCAAAAAACTATTAGAATTGATAGTGAGGTCAGTAAAATTTCAGGATATTAAATTAATATACAGGTTATAGTTTTAAACATTAACAATGAAGTAGCAGAATGAGAAATAAAGAAAACAATCCCACTGCACCAAAAAGAATGAAATACTTAGGAATAAACTTAACAAAGGACATGGAAGACCTGCACTCTAGAAAGTATAAAACATTTGTGATAGAAATTAAAGATGACATAAAAAAAATGGAAAGAGATACCATGCTAATGGACTGGGAGAACTGATATTGTGAAATGTCCATACTACTCAAAGCAATCTACAGAGTTGACAAAATCCCTATCAAAACACCAACAGCATTTTCACTGAACTACAAATCATCCTAAAATTTGTATGGAACCACAGAAGACCCTGAACAGCCAAAGCATTCTTTTTTTTTTTTTAATATTTTATTTATTTATTTATTTGAGAGAGAGAATGAGAGAGAGAGAGCATGAGAGGGAAGAGGGTCAGAGGGAGAAGCAGACTCCCTGCTCAGCAGGGAGCCCGATGCGGGACTTGATCCCGGGACTCCAGGATCATGACCTGAGCCGAAGGCAGTCACTTAACCAACTGAGCCACCCAGGCATCCACAGCCAAAGCAGTCTTGAGAACAAAGCTGGCTGTATCAAAATCCTAGATTTCAAAATATAAGCTGTACTAATCAAGAGTATGGTGCTGGCATAAAAACAGACACACAGACCAACAGACCAGAATAGAAAGTCAAGAAAAAAACCCCCATGCTTATATGGTCAATTAATCTATAACAAAGGAGGCAAAACATACAAGGGAGAAAGACCATCTCTTCAACAAATAGTACTGAGAAAATTAGACAGCTACACGTAGAAGAATAAAACTAGACCACTGTCTTACACCACACGGAAAAATAAACTCAAAATGATTCAAAACCTAAATGGGATACCTGAAATCATCAAAGTCCTAGAAAAACACACAGGCAGCAATCTGTTTGACATCAGCCTTAGCAACATTCTTCTAGGTGTCTCCTCAGGCAAGGGAAACAAAAGCAAAAATAAACTATTGGGACCATACCAAAACAAAAAGCTTATGCACAGCAAAGAAAACCATCAACAAAATGAGACGGCAACCTACTGAATGGGAGAAGATACTTGCAAATGATATATCTGATAAGGAGTTAATATCTAAAATATATAAAGAACTTATATAGAACTCAACACCAAATAAACAATCCAATTATAAACTGGGCAGAGGGCCTAAAAAGACATTTTTACAAAAAGACAGATGGCAAACACACATAAAATGATGATGAACAGCACTAATCATCAGGGAAATGCAAATCAAAATCACAATGACATATCACCTTATCCTGTCAGGATGGTTAGAATCAAAAGGAAATAAAAAGTGATGGTGAAGATGTGGAAAAAAAGGAACTCATGCACTGCTGGTGACAATGTAAATTGGTGCAGTCATTGTGAAAACAGTATGGAGGTTCCTCAAATTAAAAAACGAAATACCATATATTCCAATTAATTCCACTATTGGGTATTTACCCAAAGAAAACAAAAACACTAATTTAAAAACTATGTATTCCTATGTTTACTGCAGTATTATTTGCAATAGCCAAGACAGGGAAGCAACCGAAGTGTCCATTGATAAATGAATGGATAAAGATGTAGTATACACACACACACACACACACACACACACACACAAATGAAATATTACTCAGCCATAAAAATGGATGAGATATTGCCATTTGCACAACATGAATGGACCTAAAGGGTATTGTGGTAAGTAAAATAAGTCAGAGAAGACAATTATATGATTTCACTTACAAGTGGAATCTAAAAAACAAAACAAATTAATAAATTCAAGCAGAAACAGACAATAAATACAGAGAACTGATGGCTGCCAGAAGAGGTGTGGTGGGGAGATGGATAAAATGGATGAATGGGAGTAGAAGATATGGGCTTCCAGTTACAGAATGAGCGAGTCATAGGGAAGGTAGTCAATGGTATTGTAATAGCATTGTATGACAACTCACCCATGGTGAGTATAGCGTAAGGTACAGACTTGTCAAATTACTATGTTGTATGCCTGAAACCAAAGTAAAATTGTGTGTCAGCTATATTTTAATTAAAAAAAAAGTGTGGAATACACAATGGAATATTACTCAGCTATAGAAAAGAATGTTTCCGTTTGCGACAACATGGATGGATCTAGAAGGATTAAGTGAAATAAGCCAGACAGAGAAAGACAAATACCATATCATTTCACATATATGTGGAATCTAAAAAATAAGTGAAATAAACAACCAAAAAATGAACAGATTCTTAAATACAGAGAACTGGTGGTTGCCACAGAGGAAGTGGATGGAGGGGTTGGGCGATTAAGGGGGTTAAGAGATACCAGCTTCCAGTTATAAAAGAAGTAGTAAGTCACAGAGATAAAAAGAATACAGTCAATAATGTTGTAATAACATTGTATGGTGTCAGATGACGACACTTAATGTGGTTAGCACTGTGTAATATATAAAATTATCAAAGCTGTACACGGGCAACACTGTATGTCAATTATACTTCAATATTAAAAATATTAAGGATTATAAGGAAGTATTACACAACCAAAACATGGAAATTAGAAGAATCTTAGGAGCTGGACCTGGAATTGGCTTTGGAATATAATCTGGGACATTTTTTCCCCCACAAATACTGAGCGGTTTAAGTTCAATAAAATGTTTCAAAATTTAGTTCTCTCTTCTGGAATTATTTAACATTAATTTTGTTTTCTGTTTTATGACATGGGTATTTTAAATTAAGTGAATTAAAAAAATTACAATTATTGTAAGATAAAGTATAATGAAAGTTATGATAATCCCAGAGGCTAGTGGATACTGATGACAAAGACAATGCAAAGATGACATGAAAATTAGCTTGGTATGTGTAATTACTGTAAAAAGTGAAACTGTCCTTTATGCCCTATTCCAGAATATCTTTAAGATAGTGAGTCTGAAAGTGGGAATATAATAATGGTTATACTTAAAATATACCAGCTCCTCACGGACTCAGAAAACATTGGCATTATAAATAATTATATTGAATATGGCTATGCATTACAGAAATAAATCACTTTCATTTAAAAAAACTTGTGTGTTAAATATTTATACATAGAATTAAAATCCAGTCAGTTGTTTTCAAAAGGAAAAGACAGTATGACTACATGTACCCAAAGTATGATAATTTAACTATATATAAGAAATATATAGAATTAAGTTCCACTACAAGGATTGAAAAACTCCACTCAAACTTTAAAGACTGAACTTCCAACTGTAGAAATTAGTACCAAAGACATAATAAAATCTGGTATCACAAATAAGCCTAATTGTGGTATCAAAGTTACTCTTAACCTCATGAAAATCTAAGTCACAAAAGATTATTAATAAAACAAGTCAGTAAATGTGAATAATATAATTAAAAAGCAATTTCTAGGAATAAGGGTGATCAAACTATCATTTAGAGAAGTGATATAAAAACCAAAACCAACTGTGGTACAATTCTGAGTGTGCTGAAGGCAAAAAAAAATCAGCAGGAGGAATTTTTTTCCCTAAGCAGAAGTAGATATATTCTGTGCTATATTAGAATATGTTTATTCTGACAAAGAATGTATTTAATTAGATGTGTATCTGCTTTGGGCCTCATACAAAATGTCCCCAAGCCAAACTATTACTCTATTACATTTCTGTGCCAAAAAGAGCAATATATTATTATAAATAATTCTAGGTCAGCAATAAAGGGCATGTGTGAAAACAGGTAATTTAAAAGATACTAAGTCCAAAAAATTCTCTTGCCATTAAGTAAACAAGGTGAGAAGCCATGAGAAAGTTAGCAGAAATAAAAACAAGGTATATAAACTGAGCACTTATGTATTTGTTATATTAAAAAAACAGCTTCATTACCTTTATACAATTTCAGTTTATAAAACTGATTTTCAAATCACATGCCAGGACAGAATAGAAAAGTCTTAGTTCAAGTCTTTCTGGAGATGCAAAGCTCCATTACAATTTGATGTCAACCAGAAGAATACATTTTCACAATTATCCTGTCATATGTTTATCCTTAAAATTCCCTGAGAGGAACGCACATGGATGACTGCCTCTCCTCTGCGCCTCAAGCTCTGTGGTAATTAATTCTCTTCTTTACGGTTTCTCACTTACTCCAACTCTCCCTTATGAGCATTTTATATAAATCAGTTTACATTTAAGATGTATTAGAATGGTGTGTTACTTAAAGGGATTACATTTATATCTGGTAAAGCAAAGGCTCCTGTAAAATTTACATTTAAGGAAAGGCTCTCCTAAGAAAATAACCACTTCATCATGTGTTGTATCATATATTATGCTTAAAGTAACCTTGTATTCAACAATTACTATAAAACTCTACCTCCATGAAAACAAAATGTGGAAAAAATACACTGTTGAGAAAGTATAATCCTAAAAAATTTATTCTTGGGAATATTTAATGAAAGTATTCTTGTAAAATGTTGATTTTAAATTAAAGTGAGAATTTACTGGAGATAATTTTACATACCTTGGACTTGAGGGAACCTCCCCAATTTTCATCCACAAACTTCAAGAATAGCACCTGCATAAAGCTACAAAAGGAAAAACAAGAATTTAAAAAACTGGTATAATTTTAAGATTTTATTTATTTTGGAAAGAGAGAGAGAGAGAAAGAGACAGACGGCATGCACGAGTGGGGGTGGGAGGGCAGAGAGGGAGGGTGAGAATCTTTCAAGCAGACTCAACATTGGGAGCCCAACGTGAGGTTCAATCCCACGACCCTGAGCCAAAATCAAGAGTTGGAAGCTTAACCAACTTTGCCACCCAGGCGCCCCCATTATAATTTTTAAAATGTAGTTATTTCAGTTAAAATAAATATTACAGATAAACAGATAAGAGAATCAAATGTTCAGAGCTGGAGAGAACTATGTAGTTCCAGTGTGACAGAAGAGGAAATAGAGGCCCATGGATATTACATGATTGAGGAATTTAAGCCCTACTTGGAAAAAGATTGAAGGAGATGTGGAGAACGGACAATGAATTTGAATAGGTAAGATGTCCTTGTAAGTTCTTCACAAAATTCTAAAGATTTCCTATAGTTCTTTAGAATGCTAAACTGAACACAGGTTTGTATTCATCTATCCATCACAGATAAATAGTTATGGATATGGCCATGGATATTCTTTCTGGTTGGTTAAAATTAAGCAATCAATGTTTTAAACAAAACAAAACCTCAACACCTTTAAAAATTATAGTATATACTATGTAAAGATATTAAAAACTAGTAAAATATTATTAGAAAGAATTTTTGTTAAAGATTTATTTATTTGAGAGAGAGGGAGAGAGATCCTGCACATGTGTGTGGGGAGACGGACAGAGGAAGCCCAAGGTGGGGCTCTATCTCACAAACCATGAGATCATGACATCACGACCTGAGCCAAAACCAAGAATGGATGCTTAACTGACTAAGCCACCCAGGCACTCCTCGTTAGAAAGAATTTAAATGCAAATATTTTCCCTTAATGGAATTCACTTGAAATGAATTAAATGATAAATACTGCTTTTCCAGCTATATAGAACCTGCACAATTTATAGTAAAAGCTCATTACAAAAAAACTCTAATGTAAAAATTCTATTGCAATGAATTCAGATGAAATGGATTCAATGGAAAAACATCACTTTTTTTTCAGCTGTAGAGCCTGCCCATTCTTTTTGTAGTGACATGGGGATGCTAGGGTTCTAAGAGAAGGCAGGCAATTATAAAAACATACTATATCCATTTTATTTCTTGCTGGCTTTTACACTTTTTTTTATTGTAGGTCTAAGAGCTAAAGATGGATTTTACTTTTTAAGTTCTAAAACAGCATCAATATCCCATGCACTATGAACTATGATTATTTTAAATACTTCGGAAAATATAAAGAAGTACAGAGTAGAAATTAGAAATTTACTTTAATTCCATCTATACCCAAGAGATAATGATATATATTTTTTAAACATTTTGGAGATTCTGAACTAGATCAATAGTTTTTAAATTTTTGAGGATCACAGATACTTTTGAGAATCTGATGAACTTTTGCTTTGAGCTATTCATGGACTCTCTAAAACCACTAATGGATTTCAGATTAAGAACTCTGATGATCTCCAAAGATTCTCTGCAGCATTAAAATTTGATATTAGGGGGATCTAATTTTTTAGTTAATCTTGTTAGACAAGCCCCCAGAATATCTTTAAAAATATCAGCCCATATTACCAATAAGGTCATGAAAAGATGTTCAACATCACTAATCATTAGGGAAAAGCAAATCAAAACCCCAATGAGCTACCATTTCACACTAGATAGGACGGCTATTATTAAAAACAACACAGAAAACCAGTGGTGGTGCAGATGTGGAAAAATTAGAACCCCTGGGCACTGTTGTTGGTAAAGTGGTATAGCCACTACAGAAAATAAAAAGGTGGTTCCTTAAAAAATTAAAAATAGAATTATACGATTCAGGAATTCCACTTCTAGACCAAAGTTAGAAGCAACCCAAATGTCTACTGACAAATGGATAAACAAAATATGATATATACATATAATGAAATAGTCTTAGAGAAAATTATGACACATGCTATAACATGGATGAATCTTGCAGACAGTAGGCTAAGTTAAATAAAGCAATTACAAAAGGATAAATACAGTATGATTCCACTTTTATGAGGTACTTAGAGCAGTCAAGTTGAGAGAAAGTAGAATGGTGGTTGCCAGGGGCTGGGGGAGGGAAGGATAGGAGCTACTGTATACTGAGAATGGAGTTTCAGTTTAGGAAGATGAAAAAGTTCTGGAGATACATGTGCACTTAAAAATAGTTAAAATGGTGACGTTCATGTTATGTATATATTACCAGAATTAAGAAAGTTAAAAAAGTACTAAGGCCAGTTAAAATTTGGTTATTAGATTTAGCTTTTATTTTTAAGTCTGTGATCCCTTGGAAACTCTAAGTGGGGATTCCATTACCTTACATAATAGCATTTCTCTACACCACTGTTTCCCAATATTCTCCATATCATGACACGTGGAAAATGGTTAACAACTTCATGGGGCAAGAGGAGGCTGCTTATAGCTGGAGATGACTAGCTTGGTGGGCCCTGTGCATCCCAGTCCCTATTTGGCTGTCTCAAGGACTCAAGGATTCTGCATCCCAGCAGACTTGTAAGGCATTCGTGGAAAGCACTTCTCTGTACCACAAAACAACTGGTTAAAAATACTAGAAACGTGTTCTTTAATGAATAGGCAGCTCAGATGTGACTTTGTCAGGAAAACATTTGTTGATTTCCTATCCTGCAGGTACTTTTTGCAGAATTCTGTTGTTTTTTTTTTTTAAGATTTTATTTGACAGAGACAAAGAGTGCGCACACACATGCGCGCACAAGCAGGGGGGAGCAGCAGAGGGAGAGGGAGAAGCATGCTCTCCGCGGAGCAGGGAGCCCGATACGGGGCTTGATCCCCAGGACCCCTGGATCATGATCTGAGTCAAAGGCAGACTCTTAACCGACTGAGCCACCCAGGTCCCCCGAGAATTCTGTTCTTATAATGTACTATAAATATTCTATACCTTAACTGTGGAGAGGAAATGTCTTATTTATCATAACTACCTCCAGAACTAGACACAAAGCTTCATGTATGTGTGTTGAATGAAGAGAATTATTCATTTAACAGAATTAATTACTTTTCATTACATAACTTTAAAAATATTTTGAGTTCCTTTGACATACTTGTAGAGTACGTTGTGCTTAGTTTCAGTTTAGGGTAAACAAAAAGAAAATTTATCTCAGAGCTGCCTAACATTATTAATACCAAATTCTAAAAGCATTAGTTTTTTTTAAAGATTTTATTTATTTGACAGAGAGAAAGAGAGCACAAGCAGGCAGAGGGAGAGGGAGAAGCAAGCTCCCTGCTGAGCAGAGCCCTGCTAGAGGGCCTGACATGGGGCTCGATCCCAGGACCCTGGGATCATGACCTGAGCTGAAGGCAGATGCTCAACCAACTGAGCCACCCAGGTTCCCCTAAAAGCATTAATTTGTGATGCTAGTTGACATTTTACTTATCAATTTGTGGTGTTCATAGAAAAACACTGGTTTTTCATGGTGAATAAGTAAATGAAATTAACTACAAATTATGATACGTTTTCAGTGACATAATCATAAGCATCTTGGGCATCACACAAATTCACATAAGAAAATATATGCTACTTATAACAGGAATTCTCTAGGGCACAAAGGATGAAAGGATTTAAAAAGGTAAAACTTGTAGTTCCTTGACTTTCCCCCTTGGCATCTGGACTTTTTAAAGTAACATCACTGGCATAGAAAAAATGCTGACCTTCAACATTTGTGGAAAACTACCCAATGGAAGAGAAATCAAAAAAGTTAGGTAACTTTTATACAGCAAGCTTATTTTTTAAATACCAAGTTGGTAGCCCTCTTTTTTTGTAGGCCTCAAGAAGCTCATTTGTATAGACAATCTATCTCTAGACACTAGTAGGTCCTTATTCCATTATATTATACTGACCCCAATAATTTAAATGGAAACACATGAACACCTTTAGAAAAATATACAAATGACATCAAAATTGCATTTTTTCCCTTGAGAGTCCACACCTATTTCCATATAAGTTATGAATAGGTTTTCTTAAACTTTCTAAACCATCCTCCCAATGGAAAGCAAAAAATAAACTACTTCAGCTCTGTAACTGATTTGCCTTATTAGTAACATGACTTTTGAATCCCCTAATTTCCACCTCATTTAAAAATAAGTGGTTTTTAAAACTGAATTATAATTAACAATAGTGTTATATTAGTTTCAGGTATACAATACAGTGATTCAATTCTATACATTACTCAGTGCCCATCAAGATAAATGTACTGTTAATTCCCTTTATTTATTTCAGCCATCCCTCTACCCACCTCTACTCTCTGACAGCCACCAGTTTGTTCTCTGTATTTAGGTCTGTTTTTTTTTCTTTGTTCATTCATTTTCTTTCTTAAATTCCACATGAGTGAAATAATATGGTATTTGTCTTTCTCTAACTTACTTCACTTAGTATTATATCCTCTAGATCCATCCATGTTGTAGTGAGTGGCAAGATTTCATCTTTTATGGTTGGGTAATATTCCACTGTGTGTGAGCGTGAAAGTGTGTGCCTGTGTGTATACATACACCACATCTTTATCCATTCACCCTTCGATGGACACTTGGGTTGCTTCCATATCTAGGCTATTGTAGATACCGCTGCAGTAAACACAGGGATGCCTATATCTTTGAGTTAGTGTTTTCATTTTCTTTGGGTAAATACCCAGTAGTGGAATTAGTGGATCATATGGTAATTCTATTTTTAAAGTTTGAGGGAAACTTCATACTGTTTTCTGCAGTGGCTACACCAATTTGTATTCCCACCAACAGTGCATGAGCGCTCCTTTTTCTCCATATATTTGCCAACACTTGTTATTTCCAACAAGAGGGTATAAAAATTGTAAGTATCTATGCACCCAACATAGGAGCACCTAAATCCATAAAGCAATTATTAACAGACATAAAGGAAGAAATTTA